ATATTACCCAATTTTGTTAAAATATAAAAGGTGTGTTTGTATCCAGTAAATAGATACCTAACATGTCAAGCCTTAACATTTTGTGCACCTGTAAAATGGCAACACATTTTGGCACCTAAAATTGCCCTTTGGCAAAGTTTTAAAAGCCTACACAAGTCATCAGTTTAGAGTTAACCATGAATGATGGCCTTAGAAGTATTGCTATCACTCTGACCTGCACAGTGATATCTAATGTGTGGCCCAATCGCCACTTTCATTTATACAGTAGGCGCACCCAATACATGTGTTTACATTCATATGTGTGTATGCGGGGGCAAGGAGGTTTAAAAAAATGGGATGTACTTTGATCTATTTTAATTACCTTTTAATTTTTTTTAAACTGCTTTCTTTTTTACACTTAACTTTTTGCTATCACAAAGGAGGATAACAAACCCCCATGGGATAGCACAATCTATAGTTCTCAGGACAGGAAATGACAGATTGTGCTTGATATGTTTGTTCTCCAACCACAGCAGCTGGGGAAAGAAAGCTCAGAAAATGGAAATGACAACTTTTTGCGGCTCCTGACTTCCTTCGGTGTTGTTACGATCATTAAATAGATGTTCACTGATCATGCTCTGCTGCCAACACCCGCCACCATACCGATCCCAAGTCCGCAGGAGAAATTGCAGAGCCCAAGATACATGGTGGGGGGGGGGTCAGCATTAAGGCTGGGTTCACACCTAGGCGTATCGAATATGTGCGTTTGTTGCGCGTTTCGTGACGCGTGTTTTTACCGCAATTCGCTGTAAAAAAACGCGCGACAAGCACGCGTTTCCGAGGGTTACTTGGCTGTATCCCAATGGAAACGCGCAAACAAAAACGCCCCAAAGAAGCTCCTGTACTTCTTTGGGCGTAGGGAGTTTTGTAGCACGTTCATATGGCCTGTAATACGCCCAGGTGTGAACCATACCCATAGGAAATATTGGGATTTCGGTGTTTGAGCATTTTGCAGAGCGTTCGAACGCGCTACAAAAAGCCCAGGTGTGAACCAGGCCTTAGTGTTCTCTTGTTACATGTAAACACACTACTGGCTGCTATAACAGCTGGGAAAATGTTTAAAAGCATGTGCTGCCACTGACACAAGCCTTATGTTGGTGGAAGCAAAAGGGTTAAAGCGACCTCCAGGCAAATGGTTAAATGCACAGATGAAATGCATATAAATTTGTTGTGTTACCTGCCAAAGGAAATGAATATCAACCCATCCAGTCCTGAGATTTTTACAGCCTGCTACACAGCATAGCCAGGAGGATGACACCAATTTTTATGTTAAAATGCATACGTTGACACCACTATACTTACAATCCCTGAAGCCCATGTCTTGAAACACTGTCACTTTATTACTCCCTATGCAATGCATGTATTCCACACTTCTGGGTATGTGAATAGTTGCTCCTCCTGCCCCATTAAGTGGTTACCTACAGGACTTATGAGCCAATGGGAGAAACCACTACCTATGGTGGGTGTGTGGTGGTGGTGGTGTACAGGTTTCAAGACACCATTTCTGTTTGAAAGGTAAGCATAGATGGCCTCTTTTACAGGATTGCCCTACTGTGCATTTTGCTATGCCTAGTAATTAATCTGTAGTGATTTTATTAGCAGGATTGAGCTACTAAAAATCTACTGTGCAGCCCTAGCCTAATAAAGTGATTGTTAGTTAATAGTTAAGTCTCCCAGTATCAAAATATTAAAGTAAATGTACAGCCAATTTTTTTTCAGTATTGGATAGAGTGGGGGAGGGTTTGAATGGATGTAAGCATGGTATTGTTGTCTCTGCTGATGCTGGGTAGATTCACCCTCTTTGTTTCTCCAGGTGACCATTGTAGACATAGAGAGAAATTGATGTGAAATGTGATGGATCTACCCTAAATCCTCAAAATCCTTGCCAGACTTTAAAAAACTCATGTGCACATGAAAATGTGCCATATTTATGTCCATAAATACTCAGTAGTGCTATGCTCTGAAAACCCTTTTCTTTTTTTTTCTTAAAGAACTACTTTTGTCTCTTAACCTTTGCTAAAACACATTAAAAGTTCTGAATTGCACATTTATTGACTGTTTTGAAATACAACTTTAACTTGTTTATGAACTAGCCGGTAAATCACAAAAGTCATTACAGCACCATATTATTATGTTTTTTACAATATCAATAAAAGATAGGATATAAAATTCTGCTGAGATAAAAAAAAATGAAGAGCTTGAGGTATAAATGCACCAGTGATTGAGGTGTACATCATGCTAATGTTATGGTGTTCTGAGCCCCGTAATTTATGTGACCTTCTATATGCCTTTCATGTGTCTATATTTAAGCCTACAGCTAAACATAACAGTGGAGATATAGGTCTATGATAACAGCATTCAAGGACAATTTCCACTCAGACAAAAGCTCTTCATCTAAATATTGCACTTACTCTATGCCTATTGACTTTTTTGTTTTTAAATGAAACATTTGTTAAAGTAAACCTGTACTACATTATACACTTTTAAAAGTCATGTCCTTGAGCAGATACCACAAGATGCCTGCTGTAACTTATATTATCCAGAAAAACCTCTTCTATGTCTCCCATTTAATTTCACTTTGATTCTGGGAAATTACTTCAAATGTAGCTATAGCCCAAACTTTTGTTTTAGTTTTCTTTGCTGTCCCCCTTCTGTGGAGATTCACCTTTTCTGTTTGTCCTGGGGACTGCTGTCACAGAAAGGATTTACAGATTCTGAACAACCAGTAAAAACACTTTGAAAGAAGCCTCATTAACCTCTGTATGTATAGGCTTTGCAGATAAATTAATTTTCAAAGTTAACAACACAGGCATTGAAATCTTAGTCTTTCTCTATCAGTGCACATCTTGATAGGCTGCCAGCCCTATAATGTCAAGAGCAGATGTTTCTAAGCTGTTAGAAACGAACTTAAACCCCACTTTAGAGTCTTTTTTTGACCTTTGAGGATCTTTGAGAATTAATTACTTCACATTACAAACAGCTAGAGAGGCACAAGTACTGAATTTGCTCAAAATCAACTCTCAGGAATGTCTATTCACACACACATTGCATTATAGTATGCAGAGGACATACATGAGTGGTGAATTTAAAGTGTATGCATAACCAAAACGTTTTTCCTTACTCTTACCTCCATGTTACTAATGTATCCTACAGTGGTGTGTGGTAGGAGGAACCTGAGAGAGCTACAGGAGAATCGGAAGATTGACACTTCCAAAAGTGTCCCAAAAGGCTGACCATATCTATTCTAGAAGATATGTTGTCCACATACCATTCTTCTTTGGAATATCATCTTTATTTGTATTCCTTCAGCATGACATGTGCATGCAATGTTTCAGAGCTTCACAGGACCCCTTCGTCAGGCAAAGTGTGGCACTGTGACACTTTGCCTGATGAGAGGGTCCTGTGAGGCTCTGGAAACGTTGCATTCACGTGTCAGGCTAAATAAATATGAATAAAGATGATACTCTGAAGTAGAATGTAGTGTGGACAACATATCTTCTAGATTGTATACTGTTGGGCCATCCACCAGTTGTTCCAGCACCCGTTGGTTTCTGGGCTATAATGGTACGGTTTGCGAAGGGGATATTGCAATGACCATATCTACTGATTGGAGCAGCGCTTGTTGGTGCAAGCAGCAGAAAAGGTAAGCATTTGCCTTCTTTTATAGTGATTGTCTTTTTACCTTTACATCACATGTAATAAAAAACCATACTGGACTGAATTAATCAGTGAGGATCTCTCATGTTATCAATACTCTTCAAACATTTCCACAGACTCCTTGGGATACCCTTGTCAACAGAGAGCTGCCTCCAAATTTCAGTAATTGTACTACTTATCCTCGTCTGCTCAAAGGGTCTAGCGTTCCTACAATATACATACATTTTCTGGTTTCTCTCTCTGACCTATATACCACTAATATATCCTACAGTGGTGTGAGGTGAGAGGGAGGAACCCGTGAAAGCTACAGGGGAACAGGAGATTGACACCATCAAAACTGTCAGTTCCAATTAGACTGCAGGTAATCATGTCTACTAATTGCAGCAGCATTGTTGTTGCAGGCAGTGGAAACGGTAGGTATCTAATTTTTACTTTTATAGTAATGGATTTTACTTAGTTTTACTTAATGGCAGGGTCTTGTTTAATTGAACTTCTTGCGTTGGGCAAAGGAATGGGTTAACTACAAATTAATGTGGCCCAGTGTTTTTTACTTCGAATTAATGTAAGAAAGAAAGATCAGCATACCACAAACAACTTAACATATAATACAAAGCAAACAAAACTGTTAAAGGAATCAAAGCTATCTAGTTTAGTGACTTTAACATTCTTCAGTGTAGTATAAGCATCCACTTGTCTTCAGGATTGTAAAGCTTCATATTATAATAGCCATAAATACGGCACTAATAATCAGTGTTCTTTCTATTGAGTTAAAAAAAAAAAACACATTATTTAGTAAGCAGAGATGTCAACAATCTCTACGATATTGCTGTAGAGGAATGGTACAGAGGCCATGACATGAACGAAGTGTTGGCAGACACCCTCTGTACAGAAAGCCCAAGTCACAAGACCCAGCTCTTTCATATATCAGGGCCAGGGCAGAAGTCAGTGAAAAAGGTAATGCAAACAGTAAGATCTGTCTGGAACTGCGGTCTTGAACATCTGATGTTCGTTAGAGATATGGCTGCTCAGAGCATCTCTAGAGACAACCGCACAGTCTGGAGGTTTATAAGGTTAATGAATCAGAGGCATTTAGCTAACACAAGGCACAAAATAACTTCTTGAAAATCTCAGTTACCAATAAAATATCCTGTCTTCCCAATTATTTTATTATGAAGGGTCCTCCATTCCACAAGCTCTACCAGCACAATTTCATAATAATTAATTGGTAAATAAGCCAAGTAAATTGTTTTCATTATAATATTTAGGTGAGCTTTGTTATTTTACATTCAACAAAATAAGCCTACCTTCTATCTGGCAATATTGGAATTCTCCAGCCTTTAACCTGGCTTAGTTTTGAATCAGATAACTCAATCAGTAAAGGCAGTTTAGGGACCCATACAGTCATTTCTAGGGGTGCATTCAGATGTTCATAGGTGAAAATGGCTTGGGCATTCATCGATCCTCTGCTCTCCTTCCCACTGACAAATACATAGTCACAGCTGCTTGATACCTATTAAAAGAGAAAGAAAGAGTCTTATAGTGGGCCTTTCATCAACTTTATATTTATGCATGAATAAAATCCTGACAGGTCACATTACACAGCAACAATATAATTTTTTTGCAACAGCCCATGAGCTCCAGTCCAATAATTTTGCCTAGACTGAGATGATGTCCTCACTCAGCTGCAGTAAAGACAATGCATGTTCTCAGTCTTCTTTCCCCCAGTGATCAGACTGGTTGGGGAACCCTGCATTTTTGCACAGGGGTGCCCATACTAATTCTGAACACCTTACTATGACATTACTGAAAAATATAATATTAAGATGCCTACTTTTGAAAGATTCTCAACTAGTAGGAAGAACTTAAAGAGACACTTAGGAGTTAAATCCTAAAAATGCATTGAAGTACCTTAACTATTAACAAAGCTGAACTTTATTTGTGCATCACTCAGCTATAGATCGTCAAATCATCTCTGAATTAAGCTCATTGTGCTTCCTTCTAGAGGGTGACTACTTTTTTTTCCCCATGGTCTCCGTGTGTGTTGTAAAGTAGCCACCGCTCCAAGCTCACTCCCGTGATGGACTACAATCTCATGTTTAGTTTACTAATTTGTATTATAATTATAGTCTATCACGGAAGCAAGCTTGGAGTGGTGGCTATTTTACAACACACACAGGGACCATGGGGAACAAAAGTAGGGACCATGTCAGCATGAATTCAGAGATGATTTGTGGATCTACAGAGTGATACACAAATAAGGTACTGTTTTGTTAGTAGTTAAAGTACTTGAATACATTTTTAAGATTTAACACCTGTGTTTAGTGTCACTTTCATAAGGATCCAATTTTCAACTGCTACCAATTGGTTAACAATCAAAAACAACCGCTGTGCAATTTTACTTTGTGACTTTCCATACTGTGCCGTCACAGTGAGTTGGTGGGAATTTAGCTGTTATTTTTACTGATTTTTTAATGAGGTATCTTTGTTCCAAGCAGCAAGATCAGTACATTGAGAATTTGTTTTATATAAACTAATATGCCAACAGACAAAGCTCTAAGAATACTCAAACACAAGCTCAGCCACCAATAAGCAGAAACAAGTTACAGATAAGAAGAGAAAACATTGAAAGTGATACGTATGTTTTTTTAAAATATAATTATATTAAACTAAAGATCATTTTAACCCAGTCAACTTCAATGTGTGTGCATTTGTAATCTTTTTTATATAGATCTGTGTTACTAAATATATATGAGAGTTTAATTCCCGTTACAATGTTCAGGATTCTTTAAAGAGAACCTGTGAGAGAGTAGAAATATATGAGCTGCTATTGCTGACTTATTTTAAAAGTGGGATCTCCAAGACTGTCATCCAAACACTGTCTTCACTAGGTAATGTCACCGACCTCTAACAAAAATACAGCTAGTGAAGTCTGAAATCTGTTCTCAAAGCATAAGCCAGATCCATAGTAAAACATGGCAAGCCATACAATTTCCCATTACTGACATCAGGTGAGGAAAATACGAATTTTAATTGCTTGAGATTACTTTCTGTACTTTGTATTGGTATTGCGCTTTTGTTTTTCCTCATTGCATAGGCTGTTCATATGTCTTTTGTCACTAATACTTTTAAAGAAAGCCATTCAAGACTAGAATTTTTTTGGGACCATAAAGAGATAGGACGACATGGTTGCCAATTGGACATTGTGGAGCTATAGCCATTGTACTGGTTTATTTTCCATTATAATCTTTGTAAGTGTAGAAATGTTTAATACATGCATCTGCACTGAGCTTTTCATTGAAATCTTGATACTACATTGTATTTTTAATAAAGAAGCCATGGTGTGTTTTTTGCTCAGGTCAATCAAACTTTATAATTTGTGCATGATACAATATTATTTTAATCAGTTAGGAAAACTATAGCTACAGCATTAGCTACACTTAAATGTATTGTAAATGTTCATATGGTGTGATAAGGAAAGATATTTTATGTGGGTGGAAAGTGAAAAATAAAGTGCTTTATTTGAATGAATATATCAAAACCTTTCAATAAAGAAATGCCATTAAAATGACAAATGTTCTTAGAACATATGTGTCTATGGGAATGTTTGACCATTCTTCCAGAAGCGCATTTGTGAGGTCAGGTACTGATGATGGACAAGATGGCCTGGCTCACAGTCTCTGCTCTAATTCTTCCCAAAGGTGTTCTATCAGGTTGAGGTCAGGACTCCGTGTAGGCCAGTCAAGTTCCTCCTCCCCCAAACTCACTCATCCATGTCTTTATAGACCTTGGTTTGTGCACTGGTGCACAGTCATGTTGGAACAGGAAGGGGCCATCCCCAAACTGTTCCCACAAAGCTGGAAGCATGAAATTGTCCAAAATGTCTTGGTATGCTGATGTCTTAAGAGTTCCCTTCACTAGAACTAAGGGGCCAAGCCCAACCCCTGAAAAACATGCCCACACTAGAATCCTCCAAACTTTACTCTTGGCACAATGCAGTCAGGCAAGTACCATTCTCCTGGCAACCACCAAACCCAGACACGTCCATTGGATTGCCAGACAGGGAAGCGTGATTCGTCACTCCAGAGAACACGTCTCCACTTCTCTAGAGTTCAGTGGCAGCGTGCTTTACACCACTGCATCCGACGCTTTGCATTGGACTTGGTGGTGTAAGGCTTGGATGCAGCTGCTCGGCCATGGAAACCCATTCCATGAAGCTCTCTACGCACTGTTGTTGTGCCAATCTGAAGGCCACACAAAGTTTGGAGGTCTGTAGCTTTGACTCTGCAGACAGTTGGTGACTTCTATGCACTGTGCGCTTCAGCATGCGCTGACCCCGCTCTGTCATTTTAAGTGGCTTACTACTTCGTGGCTGAGTTGCTGTTGTTCCCAGTTGCTTCCACTTTGTTATAATACCACTAACAGTTGACCGTGGAATATTTAGTAGCAAGGAAATTTCACGGAACACCTGAATTAAATTATTTGGAGGGGTGTGTGTGTTTGTGTGTGTGTGTATGTGTATATATATATATATATATATTTTTTTTTTAACTGTAAATACTTTAATTTGAAATGTATATCATATTCTTCCAGATTCTTCCAGTCAGTTTACAGCAGAGCTCAGATTGGAAGCTGCCAAAGCAACACAAGGAGCCAGTTGTGCTAGTGCTAAAAAGGGTCATGCTGGTAGGAGGATCAGATTGACAGCGATATGAGCTCATCAGTATGCTGCTTGTCTTTTTACTGTCCTGTCAGAGACAAAAATCTGGTCTCCTGTCCTACCAAACAGGGCTGTGCCATGTGACTGTGTAAATCTCAGGACTGGATGTACAGAAATGTAAATCAGTCGGCTGGTAAAACAGCTCCAAATACGAATTCCATCTGTGTATGTAGCTGTTCACCGGTTCAGCTTTAAAGTAGTATTACTCTCTCAAACTGTTTTCAATAATTAATCCATATCAAACAAATAAACATTTAGCAAAAGTACTTCAGCAAAGTATGTCTTTACATTTTTGTCCAAACACTTACAGTCATCATGGTTCCAAACAGCTCCAACTCTCTCAGCATTGCTTCCCTCAACTTCCTGTCTAGTACAAGATTTTAAGTGATAGCACGCACTCCAGCAGATGCCCATACACTAACACGGAGAAGGAAGATTGAAGGAGCAGGGAGCAGCTGGCCTTGCTGTCCCTGTGTGTTTGGGGAGACACACACAGCTTATTATTACACACAAGGGTGGCTCCATGGCACCCTGCAAGGGAAAGGATCCACCCTAAAACAGGATATTGGAGCCAGTGCTCAGGGGACCAGCTGATTCTACAGGAAACTAAAACTTTGAAACATGAAGGATCAGCATCCATTGTAAGTTATTTAATCAGCATTTGAATTTTCTTAAGAACATTTTGGCTTTAAGACCATTTTAGGTGGGACATTATATGCAGTTTTTTTTCTGATATCCAGATCACCACTACAGTAAGCATTTACAAGTCTGGACACCATTGATATCACCAAAATATGAAACAGAAAGCAAATGTGAAAGTCACATTAACTTTACTTTCAGGCAAATGTTACAACAGTATTTCAGAATTTGTACTTGCTGAAAATGCCCTGAGGCTTCTTTGCTTCCAACTGTCATTTCTGCAGTTCAGAGTTAATAATGAAACAATCACTCTGATTTGGCTGGCAAGAAGGTTCCCTTTTAGAAGGCTTTTCAATCACCATTTTGGAACCCTAGGTTTACTAACGGGTATTTCTAGTCATTAACTGTCTACCACGAATACTTATAGATGTATATGTATAAGTGCTAAGCCTGGACCTTTAGTATTGTTACAATGAGTTCTGCAATGCTTAGCAAAAGGAATTCCTCCTGTACTTTAAGAAAGCTTCCAATGAACCCCTTGTGGAAGGTGCTTATTGCGCACATCAGTGTTGAATTGAACACTTAACAAATCCTTAGTGTAAACAACCCCTCTAGTGGGGATTTTAACATTGAAGAACAATTTTGCAGGAGAAGCACCTATATGAATGTATCCTTAGGAACAATTACTACAAAATATGAGCTCTCTGCTTCTGAAGGAATATATGCTATATCCAAGCAAAGTCTATGTGAAGTGAAAAGGAGTATGACCTAGCTGATCTTTTCAGTATAATGGGATTTCTGATAGCTTTCTATGGGTTAAGGCATACTACTGCGCTTTGCTTAGTGTTATTAAACTCAACAGTTTTTGTAAGCCCAGAAAATTACCAGGTTGCCTGCTGTGTGCTATATTGAAAAACTGTCAAACTGCAAAGCAAAAGGATGTTCAGCATAACTGGGAGACCAGAGTACCCTCAAAACCAGTGTGTTTTTAAAATATTATTTTATACAGCAGCCATTTCTGCTGCGTGCTTCCCATTTAAGATGCACAGTGTGAGCTAAGCCTGATGCAGTAGTTTGACCTTAAAAAAGACCTTGCTAATCTCTGTGATGAATTGACAGCTTACTTAAACAAGTGGCAGCAAAGTATTTTAAGTTCAACCTCATGTGCTTTGACTCTGCATACAGAGCAATCAAGGCTCTGGATCTGGAAAGTTGCACGTATCCATGGATACCCATTATCCTTAAGGACATGTTCTAATACAGCCCAAATGGAAGCATCTCCATTGTAGGAATAGTGAGGCATAAACTGCTGCTGGAAGATGAGACACTTAGCTGATATTGTGCCAATTACAGAGCACTGCGGCTAATCTGCTGCATGACCTCATATCTTTTAAAAAAGACATACAGAAGGAACTGCAGTTGGTTTTATGAATTGATCATCATGAATTCTAATGAAGTCTATGGATTATTATAATAATAAGCTGATGCATTGTTAGGGCGAGGACTTGCATTGCATTACTGTGAAACCTGCCATCCATGACATAAAAAAACCCCTGCACAATTAACACATAGACATCTTCAAAGTGTTAATGATGTGTTCAGTCTTGAATATTTATTTCAAGACTATGATTTTTTAATCCTGAACAAGGCATATCACTTTGTTTTAAGCTCTCAGGTGCCAATCTGCAAAAATCTGAAGCACTGAAACACAGAACTTTTCTAGGACCATTAGGCCCCATACTTAACTCTCCCAGTACAGCTATAAGAATGAAGACTGGCATGGCATTTTTGTTGCTGTTGTTGTGCTCGTCTCAGACCACTGAAATCATTCTAAATGGCAATTTGCCTATTCATTTCACAATCCTTTCACTCAAACCTGTCTGTACAGAAAAGAATTACAGATAGTCTCAGCCACATTGCGGTGTGTAAATTGAGTGCAATAAAACTGTAAATGCAACAATTGTGTTATAATGCATACATGGCTTTGTGAACGACTGTTACTGAACATTGCTATTGCTGTGACAAGGTTCTCTAATACCCAAGGTCAAGATGCCAAAGGGTGCTCCCTCTTCACCTCCCCACCAAAGCGGAAGCTCATTAGGTGGGAATTGATTAAACATGTTGGAAAAACTTGTCCCATTACCATTTTTTCTCTCATAATCCAAATCTAATGTTTTTTTGTATGCAACTCCCCCACCTCCCTCCGTAGATGCAAAGATGTATGGCTACCTAAGAGGACCATAAAAATTTAGGGAGGTGCCACACAGTAAACATGACTCAGGGCAATAGCAATGTTTTTGTCTAAGCTAAGGATAAAAAGGGGAGGAAGTAGTTAAAAAGAACTAATTAGGGATAACTAAGGATTATTCACGGGTTAAATAAGAACCATTTTCATGCAGGCTTTATTCAGGTTGCTTTTATGCATTTCCATTATAAAGCTATCCTATTGGAAAACTGACACCTGAGCCCACTGAATTATGCCAGCACATTAACCCTGTGCTGCCAAAGTAGATTGTTATAATTTTGCATTTTAGTGCACTCATTATGTTCCTCCATTTCTGCCCTCATGTTTGCTGTTAGTACAGTCTTTAGTTAGACACGGCTTTTCCCTGTATCGTTTTACCAAGACAAGGCTCAGGAAAGTCATTGTCTTCTTGCCCTTCAAAGACTGGAAAAACAAACACTGTACTGTACTAAGCCAAAGTAAAACTACATTGGATTCAACTTGTTTTTGTAATTGAAAAGTTAAGCTGCCTGTGGATCTTGCTAAGACAGCAAGTGCCATACTGTCCACACAGACTGGGTCTAGGAGATACGTCTTTGCTCATATCCGCATTTGAAACAAAACAATCCCAGATGAATTCCCCTTCATTGTTGTAAACCGTATGGATACCTCTTCTGCCACTGTATCAGCCTGGCCCTGATTACTGCACATGTCACTGACAATAGCTAATACAGAGTATTTCTGGGCAATCTAATATATATTTTTGCCAAAAAACTACAAAAACAAAAACTTATTCTTAGCATTTTAACTAGGAGATACAGCAACACCGTAACCTAGTACCCTTTTACGTGGTCTCCATGACGTGGCTAAGCTTCAAGAATAGCTAAACCCAAGAATAAAAATGTAATATATTGTGGATTAGAAACCTGAGATGTGGTGGCTGCGTTAGTATAATTTTTCATGCATTTTTTCCTTAATTTTTATCTGGGGACCCTGCCAGTAACACACATTCTGTCCTACTGTGACAATCTGATGGTACAATCTCCTTTAAATCTATCAACAAGTGTGTAGTGTAAGGGCCTATCTGATTGTATGCAAATTAATGGCTAGATTAGGTAATTCCTCATATTACATTGTTTTGGTAGATCTAAAGTTGATTGTACAAAGATTGTATGGTCAGATTGTAATGTGTGTGGTGACCCTAAGGAGAGAACATCTCCAGTCTCTGTATCTCAATAACATAGGGGGGAGGCATTCTGTATCACAGGGAGGGAATTTAGGATTTATGCTATATCATAACAGACAGCAGAGGCAGAATGCACAGGGTGCACCAGAAGTTCACTGGGTTTCTGGCAGGATCACCAGGAAATATACAATTTCAGTGGTATATTTACATATATATATGTAAATACAGTAGATGGTCAACTGAATCTACTATTGCTATTCTATATCTATGATTATTTTCCTGATAATAATTCAGAGCGGTCACTGATTATTGTTGTGGTTAATGCTAAAATAAACCTGTATGAATATTATTAGTGACATAGCAGCAACAAGCAGCCTTGTATTCCTCACCTTAATGATGTCCTCATTGCTAGATTTGCATGATACAAACGTTGAAATATCTGTGATGACTCCAGAAGTTTCAATAGCTAGAACCTTTACAGGGATTGCAACTGTTCTTCCCGTCAGAATAGCTGTATTAATTATCTCTGTGTCCTGCAATTATAAATTACATTAAAAAAATGTCAAAATTAAAGCACAAGTGATCTAGTACTGATCAGACATACGAATTTGATACAGAAATGAAAAAAAAAATAACAGATGACCAGACCAGAAAATGAAAAAAATCTAATAGAGAAAACTTAAATAACATAGAAGTATGGGATGAAAGAGGAAATCTTACCATTGCCAGAGGCACAATAGCTCGAATATCCTTCTGTATTACTGTTAACTCTGTTACTGCTTTCTCCATTTCAGGAGGGGGTTTTCGACCTTGATACTCTAGATGCCACATTATCCGCCTTATGACAGTTTGACTAGTGAAATTCTCCATCTCAAAGTCCAGCTGCATTATAAAGTAAGGGGTATCTTCAGTCCTATGGTTGATTGAAAATAAAATATTTTCTAAGGTCAGTGAAACACAGAAGGATGTATTTAACATTATGCTCAGGATTCTTACTTAATACCGTAATATATATTATTGCCAATTTGTTTTTTATTATTTTTCAACGTCAGCTAAAAGAAAGATAAATAAATATTATATTAATTTTAACTATTGGCGTTATGTGCGAACGACTCATCATTTAACAGTGGCTGGGAACTCATTTGAACATATGCATTAAGAAAAAGAGTAGCATGTAAAGTGTAGCAACTAGCGACGCGATCAGTTTGCCAGAACCATGACCTCTTAGCAGTGACCTCTAAGCAGTCTGTGAATCCAAAGACCATTACACTATTGTTTTGTAGCTGAAGATTCAGGAGATTATGGGTCAGGATTCCCCAACCCCTATGATGTAAAAAACACTTAAGTAAATATTAAACGTTATGTCCTTAGAAATCATTAGCAACCAAATAGTCGTTAGAATCTTCATTCTGTCCTGTTAGTACTCTGAACTCTGGCAAAGTAGGAACTCTTCATAGGTTTGAAAGGAGACAGCACAGACATGATGGAGAAGTTTCTGACAAGCAGGTGTGCAAGGAGGCAGATTGGGGACAGGCGAGTATAAGACTGGGAGGGACGGGGGTGCTTAGAATAATAAATTCAAACAAACATAAATACACATTAAATCATGTTTCTATATAAGCATTTAAAAAAAATGTATAGGTCATGTAGGTTATTGCCTGGAATTAGATATTTGGCTTTTGCGCCAAAAGCAAAACAAACCCCCACCAAAGGGTGGTTTTTGCTTAACAGTTACCTCCCTAGCTATATTCAGCCATTTACAGTTATAACGTTAGGGTAGTATTTACTTGAATAAATGCTGTTCCCTATCCACATGGCTTTTGAATATACCCCATGGGCTTCTTTACAAGAAGATTATCTGCCAAGAGTGTTTTCGCAACTCTTGGGTAGAGGAAGATACAAAAATACATGGTTTCTAATCAGCAGGTGTAGCCGATTTCTTAGTCAGAAATGCAGAAACACTTTTCTAGCTCTTGTGTCACAGCAGACTATTCACTGCATTTATTGAGGAAAAGGTAAATGGCTTTAGCACAGTCAGTCTTAGCTCAGCATGACCTATATGTATGCATAGGGAACTACCCTGTGGTTGGGAGCTCACAGCTGGATTTTCTTTTCTTTTAACATTTATTAAAATTCATGTATATCATATATATACTAGGAATGCTCTAGTAAGTCCATCTAATTTGACATTAAGACACCTGTTACGTCATCATCCTCTTTTTACCCTATTTATACTAGGCATACTCTAGTAAGTCTATCCTATTTTTAATTAAGGCACCTGCTCCGTCGTCATCATCTTTTTATCCTATATATACTAGGCATCCTCTTATAAGTCCATCCCATTTTTAAGCACCTGCTCCATCATAATTGTCTTTGCCTCATCCTCTTCCCTTTGTAAAAGCCTGCTTACCACCCTTGAAGCTTGTTAAGCGGTAGGGTGGGGTGATCGTCATGCGTGTCAAAACTTTCTTCCCTCCTACAGATTGAAGGCAAATCTCCAGACACAATATGTACAACACTCTGCTAGTTCCTTTCTGACAGAACAGAAGCAGGCAACTTTCTTAACGAGTAACTGAGCAGTGAGATGTTTTTACAAAGCAGAGAAGATGAAGAAAGAATAGAAGTAGGAGGCGAAAAGAGCAGAGAGCAGGCAGACACTGGCGATGTAATTCTTTTTTAAAACGTAGAAAGCAGCCTGGCAACACTGCATCATTCTGATAACAGAACTATTGTAATAAGGATATGGGAGATCAGGTAGTTTCATACACGTGACCATTGAAAGTCAGTTGGTTACATTACATTTACATGACATTTTTCAATAAAATTAATTTTTCATGTAACCAACTGACTTGTCCGGATCCTGAAATTGACTACTACTAACCCGTCATCTTGTGACGAGTTAACCTCCCCTTTTTTCTACCATATAAAATAGGTTTTGCCCATCTTATCTGCAGAACTTAAAGTTCTAGTTGTCATGCCTTAATGGTAGCATGAACAAACTGGTTAAAACGCACTTGGGATGTAGTTGTAATGCTGTGAAAATCATACACTGGAAGATGCTTTTCACACCACTCAAGAGGAACAGCACCAAAACTGCAAAATATAAAGCTTTTCCTTAGCATACTCTAGAGATAATGATACAGTGCCAGATCTTGTGACCTGGACTTTCAGTACACCAGGCTACTTATATTTCAGGGACAAGAGTGAAGCATATTTTACAGTGAAGTGTACCAAAACACTTCAGTAACGTGAGCACCACTGCAAAGATTTCACTGCCCCAGGTTGTCTTAAAGGAGCTAGACTCTTAAGCACACATTAAATGTTCTCATTAATGTGCCAGAATCCTTTTGAAGTGCAGCCCCTCTTCTTCCTCAACCTCCTTTCCCAATTGTGGTGTGGTTGGTGCAAACCACCTCACACAGAGAGTGGTAGGGCTTATCAGAAGAGGCCAGAACCTTATGTGAAAACATATTATTTGTGCTCATGACTCCTCAGTACAATTCCAATCATATAGCATTGACTGGAGCAATCTGGTGCCCTGAGTGCCCAAGTCAGAAGACCTTCCATTTTCACACATGAAACTATGTAGTGATGCAGTCCCATAATAAGCTTTTCCAGAAGAAAGTTGGCAATATTAGCACAGTTATTTCTCTATTGAAATGCTCTATTAGCAGAATGCAAACTCTTACAGACCTGTTGACAAAAATATACAGAAATTAATCATACAAAGATGACATACGGTTGAGTTTTACTGTTAGACTTATTAAAGGAGAACTATGAGATGAGTGATTTCCACTCACCTCATAGTTCTAGCCGACCTGTGACAATGAGACTGTCACAGGTCGGCTCAGTAGATCATCTTTGTCACATGAAATAAGCTGCTTATTACACCAGGTAATGCACAGTTCTTCAGTAACTTGTTATCTTACAGCTGGGATTTTCTAAAATGATGACAACAAGAGGAAAAAGATTCTAGGTCAGCATAAGAAATTTTCAATTTGTTTCACCTAACAGGTGAGAATTTGAGACAGGGGCCCGCTGAGAAGGAATTATGGAAGACAGTTAAAGCTGAACTATGTTACTGTATCATAGAGCAATGAGATGAGCCTGCCATGCTCTTGAGAGTCTCTCTTCAATCTATTCCCACCCAGAACTCAGTACTCATATGATCACAAAGCTTCATAATATTGTCAGTAAAGGCAATTTACAGCTGTAGCACTCCTATGAAGCAATCTCTTAGTGTCTTTATATATTCCAGGTACACTCCAATCAAACATGAAAATGTGGCATTTAAACTAACTAAATGGACAAAGTATACCTACTGAATTACAGTTATTTTCATCCTGGCAATTACCTTGTGACTGGCTGTTCTGCAAGCTAAATTCCTATACATAACAGCATTACTTGCTTTTGATTTACCCTCAGTCTGAGCTTAAAATATGCAGGACAGTGTGATTATGTGTACAGGCACATATTTCTTCACAGGCAACATAGCTGTCTGGAGGAGAGTCTGTTCAGTATTCTCATGTTTAATAAAAGGCCCTGGCTTGCCTCCCTACCCACCAGTACCTCCTTACTGGGACTTTATTGTTGCTGCACTGTTTGTGCAATGTCAGTGTGGTTCAGATTCTGTTTCGATGAATCTTCTCTGCTTTTCTCAGTGTGGTAATGATTCTGTCTCTATGAATCTACTTTGCTTTTGTCTGTATGGTTCTGATTTTGTCTCTACAAACCTAGTACTCCTTCTAGCTGTGTCAGCATGGTTATAAGTCTGCCGCAGTAAACATGTTTCTGATTTTGGCAACACCAGTATGGTAAAAGTAACATGGCACAGCCTTTTACATTTGTTATTCATTTGTCCCCTTGTATATATGATCCTGATCTTGTTAGTGTGATAGTAGGCTAATCATGAACATGAGATACCTCTTGAAAGATCCGAGAACACTGAACATTTGTTCAGCAGAACGATCTTCGTGTGAATATACTTTTCCTCCTTGGGTGGATACTAATCTAGTGCGCAGTCACCTCTACAAATGGAGCACACAAAACAGTCAACTATGTTGGTGGACATACAAGACATTCAACTGTGAGCGATGGAAGACCACAAGACAATTGGCCTAAGGGGCAGAAAAAATTAGTCAGTTCACGTGTGCAAAAACTATCCTCTCTCTGACATCGGTTACAGCCTCAACAACACACATTGGTGCATGAAAGGGAAGTTGAACAACAAAGTTTAACAAAAATGTACGCCAAAACCCTGTATAAAGTTTAATATATCAGGATGCACCATTCCAAAGGATTTCTGTCAGTGGTTGGCACCTTAAAATGGAGAGTACTCTATTTAAGGGGGTGCAGTCCTTGTGATCCTTGTGGTCATATGTAGCACAAGATGTCTTGCACCTTTGAGCAGCATGGTACATGCAGAATGTGCCAGTATCAGGAACACTGGGTGTTCTCTGTGTAACTTACAACGACACATTGAAAGGAATTTATAAAAACTGGAGCAGTCAAAATCTGGAGCAGCTGTGCATGGCAACCAATCAGCCTCTCTCTTTCATTTTCAAATCTTAACGGAATAAACTGAAGAGAGAAGCTGATTGGTTGCAATGCACAGCTGCTTCACATTTTGTTTGCTTCAGTTTCCATAAATTCCCCCCATTGTGTAGTGTGTCTCTCCATTGGGTTAATAGTGAGTAGCCAATTCACATGGTGTAGAAGTGCTAGCATGCTAGGAAATGCTAGTTGTGCTCTGCTAACCTACCCTGATGAGTTATTATCTGTAATGTTTAATGCCAGAAAATTATTGCTCCTTTCTTGCAGGTGTTCAGGAACTATTTTTGATTTTGCACCTAATCTTTGTGCCAAACTTCCAGTTTTAGCAGCAATAACTTATTTAGTAGAAAACTGCATCCA